GTGGGTGGGAATCCTCACAACAACCCTGTGAGATAGGTCCGGCTGAGACGGTGTGACTGGCCCAAGGTCACTCATGGAAGAGTCTGTGAGATCCTGGTCAGACACACTAACCATTACACCACACTGGATCTGATAGCTCAGGGAAAGCGCTGAATCCTCTTTGTTTTGTACAGGAGGGGATATTTTCGACCCTCTCTGGCTTCTTGCGAGTAAACTTTTCTTTCCCTTTGGTTTGGTGTGGTGGTTAAGCGCACGGACTCTAATCTGGGAGAACCGGGTTTGATTCCCCACTCCTCCACCTGCAGCTGCTGGATGACCTTGGGCAAGCCATAGTTCTGATAAGAGCTGTCCTTGAAAAAAAAGTCGTTTCTGTCAGAGCTCTCTCAGCCCCACCCTACCTCACAGGGTGTCTGTTGTGGGGAGGGGGAGGGAAAGGAGTTTGCAAGCCGCTCTGAGACTCTGAGACTCTTCTTCTTCTTCTCTTGCCTGGCTTCTCTTCCCCTGCCTACCCCCTTCCTCACAGTTGACGCTCATGTTCTCCTCCACCAAGATTTTGCCTGGAACTTTCCATTAGGCCCAGCTGATTCCACTCAAACGGATGGTGGTGCCTTGAGAGGGACTCAGGCAGGGGCCTTTCCCGGCACTAAAACTAAAGATCCGATTCTCTAAAATCCTTTTTTCAAATGCCATAGACTGAACCATGAACTTTCAAGACAGAGATCAGAAGTTCTGCCACTGAGCAAGGGCCCCTTCTCTGGCCGAGTCAAATCAACGATGCCTTTCCTCCTCTCCTCCCGTCGGCCTCACTCACTCATACAAAGGACCAGGGGTCATTTCGTAGAAAAAGAGGTGCAGGAGCTCATTAGCATAACTCATTAGCATAACTTATTTGCATATGTCACCCCCCCTGACATCAGAAGGCAACACAGGCTCCACTGGACTGTTTTGGATTGCTAGGTATTGGGGGGGGGAGACCTTGTACCTGACGGGCGGCTGGGAGGGGGGGCTCTGCAACTTACCGGGCTACTTCTTGCTCCTCATGGCCCGACTGAGGGCTGCTGGGAGCAGGGGGTGGGGCTTGTTGCATGTGCCCGCCCCCTGAGCTCCTTACTGCCGGAGCACCGCTCCTGTGCGCTCCTGCAGGAAATGACTCTTGCCAAGGACTCCCTCAGACTAGGAGAAGGGGAGACCCAGGTCTGAATCCCCACTCTGCCATGAAAGCTTGCTGAGTCACCTCCGACCAGTCACACACTCTCATTCAAACCTATCTCACAGGGTGGTGGTGAGGATAAAATGGGAGGAGGGCAGAACAATGTAAACTGCTGTGGGTTCAACTGGGCAGGAAGACAGGGGTTCAGTGATGTAAATAAAGGAAGAAACAAGGATCGAGGCTATTTGTTAAGTCGTGTGCTTAACAAAGAAGTCGGAGAGTGATTCAGCAAGAATGCGGTTTATTCTTCAGCTCTGTTACTTCTCCGAACTCGGTACAACGATCGCCAGCCAGAACCCATCATTCGAACCACTCGAGCCAAGGGACAAGCACTGGCGTCTTTGTATTTAAACATTCCCGGCTAATGTAGCCACCCCCACTGTACAATAAGCAACCTATTAGGTTGAAGCAATAACGACCAATCACAAGCGATCCCGCTCTGCACGGTGATTGGCAGACACTTTCTGGGCTAGGGCTCCTATTGGTTACATTAGGATCCTAGCCCAGGATGAAGCTTAACATGGCATCTCAATCAGACGATTCACACATCAGTATTTACATCCAAGACTCAATGGCACAGTTACATAGCAGTTATATACAATGCAATACATAACAAATCCCTCCCCCCTAAGCAAAAACATTAGGAACAATCGTAATCGCTTAAGTAGGTGGGCACTCTGCGCACTCTCTGTGACCTGCGTGGCTGTACAGGCTCAGCAGATGTCCCAGCTTGGGGAACCGCATCACGCTCGGGGACTCCCGAGTCAGGAGCACTTCCACTACTAGCAATGGGTCGTTGAGTAGGGGTCTGCCCTGACTCGCCGACAGTACCGGGGCCCTCGGGCACATCGGTACTCACCTGCCTGATGCCATTGTTAGCCAGGAATTGAGCAAACTCTTGCGACACGAACTGAGCGCCGTTATCGCTTACCAGGACATCAGGCAACCCATGCGTGGCAATTAAGCGGCGCAACACATTTATAACAGCAGTGGAAGTGGTGGTAGACATTGGCGCCACTTCCAACCATTTCGAAAAAGAGTCCACCACAATCAAAAACATTTGACCCTGTACTGGGCCCGCCAAATCTATGTGCAGCCTCGACCAAGGCTTTCCCGCCGATTCCCATTTCTGTGGGAAGGCGGTTGGCGGTTCGGGTCTCGCCTGCTGGCATGGCGTACACCCCCGTACCCACTCTTCAATGTCAGCATCCATCCCAGGCCACCATACATATCCCCGGGCCAGAGCCTTCATATGCACCATGCCGGGATGGCCCTCGTGTAGTGATTTCAGCACTTTTTCGCGCCAGCGTTGCGGTACAATCACTCTGTTCCCCCACAGCAAACAGCCCTTTGATACCGACATTTCGCTTTCCCGCGTTTTGTACGGTTTGAACTCCGGCTCCAACGTTCCTGCCGGCCACCCCCTCCACACCCAGTTAATAACACGACTGAGCACAGAGTCTTTTGCTGTCGCAGCAGCAATGTCCTTAGCAGACACAGGTGCCTCCGGCAGTTCCTCGATAGCTAGAATGGAGCAAGTAGGAGCAGGGTCCAAGTCCTGGCCGGGCAGAGGGCAGCGGCTGAGCGCATCAGCGTGTCCAATGGCCTTACCCGGCCTGTGCTCCAGGTCGAACTCGTAGGCTGAGAGGAACAAAGCCCACCGCAACATGCGTGCGGACATAACATCAGGGAGTTGCCGGTCCTGGGCAAAAATCCCTAGCAGGGGCTTGTGGTCTGTCACCAGTATGAATCTCCGTCCAAACAAAAAGTCATGAAACTTCTTAACAGCGGAAACTAGCGCCAAAGCCTCTTTGTCAATCTGCGCGTAGTTTCTTTCCGCTGCTGTTAGCGACTTGGAATAAA